AAAGCTGAAATGGAACTTGTTTCATATCGACGTAGTAAAATTGTAAATGTTTTTTAAATCTCTATTTCCTTTCCTCGTTATGGACGTTTAACTTTCTACTTTCGAAAAATGACGTTGAAGCTTCCATTAAATATTGTCTTTCATGCAATGATTAAGTATATTTTCTTCACAAATTCCTAAATTATATATTTTTTAATTGCTAGTACAATCACATAAGACAAGACATTAAGATATATTCGAGTGTTATGAAGTTTGACCATTTTCGCAGCCCATAATAAAATGGAGTCCAACCCCTATTTCACTACTTGTTTATCAAGATAGTTTAAATGGAAAACAGAAATGTAGCGAAAAGGGGGGACCATAAATCTCCTCTTACTTGTATTTTACCATCATTCTGGTTGTTTTTTTTTTGCATGCCGTATATATATATATATAGATATATACCTTAAAATGTTCACATTGTTGTAACATTTCTCTTACATTCGATGCTATAATCTGAGAGTTTTCTACCCTAGCTGCCTTTTTCTTCATAGTAACATTTATTCTGATTAACACATTTCTTGTACATGTATTAGCAATTGCATCAAAATCTTTGCATTTAAAAGGCCCTTCGGTAACAGGACCATAATAACGTCAAGTGTGTTGTAAATATAAAATCATAACCAAGGAACACAAACCAATATTAGTGAAAAACAAATCATTAACATGAGAGATATTAAAACCTACTCACCATATTAAGACGAAGCTTTGAGAGAAGATAATCCATTTTTGGATGTCGATAAACAGCCATATTTCTTCCTTTTTTTATGTCTTAACCACCAATATATAAGACGAGTTTCCCAAAGATAAGTCTCACCTATCTTCTGATAATATTTTTAGGAAGGCACTTCATCAACTTGAAAATCTACGTCTTCCTTGATTACACAAGAAACGATTTTTTTTTAGGTTTCGACAATAAGTCCTCACCTGAAACTCAGTGTAGTGTAGTCTTACGTTTCTGGTATGATGTTTTTTTTTACGTCGTCTTGATTATGGAAGCAGTTTATTTGCGAGAATGTAAATTCCCTTAATTTCCAAATAAAATTCGTATTCATCGATAAGATTTTGTTTTTCACTTCACAGTAAGCCAATCTTTTTATTAGTTTTTCCCCCTAAAGTGCTGAATAAACACTATATAATCGATCAAGAAATGATTTCCTCATGATGTCGCCCTAAAGATATTTATTCATAATCACAAGCAGCTGAACATTTTTTTTTCTCCGTTATTAAAACGTTTCTTTAATGCCGTTGAGAAGTTTCATATATATGAATAATTTTCGCGATGACATCCAAAAAATGCTTGCAAGTGGTTACCAAGAAACCAACAAAGAGGGATGAAAAAGAAGCATTCTGTAAATAATGTATTCTTGATCACTTATTTCGACAAGTTAGCCGTTTCCATAGCAACCTTACAGCTGTGAGTCCAGAGTTAGTCTATGGGCAAGCATAACAAAAGCATTTCGTTCTCAAATGTAACAGTTTCGCTGAGCGATCAGTCATGGAATCATTAACGTAACAATTAGAACTGCTGGTTGTTTACAAAAGCATTGATGTAGCATTTTCAACTACTGATTGTTCACAGAAGTGTTGATGTAATGGTTTTGTCCACAGCAGTTTAACCTATCATTGGTTTACAGAAGTGCTAATGTAGCTGTTTCAACTACTGATTGTTCACAGCAGTTTAACTATCATTAGTTTACAGAAGTGCTAATGTAGCTGTCTCAACTACTGATTGTTCACAGCAGTTTAACCTATCATTGGTTTACAGAAGTGCTAATGTAGCAGTTTCAACTACTGACTGTTCACAGAAATGTTGATGTAGCAGTTTATGTTCACAGAAGTGTTGATGTAGCAGTTTTTGTTCACAGAAGTGTTGATGTAGCAGTTTTTGTTCACAGAAGTGTTGATGTAGCAGTTTTTGTTCACAGAAGTAGTGATGTAGCAGTTTGTGTTCACAGAAGTCTTGATGTAGGAGTTTTTGTTCACAGAAGTCTTGATGTAGCAGTTTCAACTACTAATTGCTCACAGAAGTTGATGTAATGGTTTTGTCCACAGCAGTTTCACTTATCAGTGGTTTACAGAAGTATTGATGTAGCTGTTTCCACTGTTGATTGTTCACAGCACTCTTATCATTCGGGCAAGGAAAGTAAAAGAAAAGATTGCCGATGAGACAAACTTCGTGCTTCTCTCTCTTCTTAATTAATCTGCTGCACACAAAAAAAGAAAAGCACTCTAATTTTAAGAATACGTAACATTTGTATGAAACACTTAGTGAAATATTAATTAAGAAAGAATGAGATATATGCGTATTCAACAAAATATTAACTCAGAATTAATATTTATTTTTACTGATTTACTCCTAATTTACCTATATTACAGTTCTTATTTAAACTATAAAATCAATTTAGGTAGTATAGGAACAAAGTTTCGTAATACATCAAGATTAGTTTTTATGAGCGCCACGGTGTTGCTTCTTATCTTATTTTAAGGTAGCGACGACAGAGGGAGCTATATGCAGATGAAAATACTGCTATAGATCACTTTACGTGTTCCTCCTAAACATCACAAGTATCTTAAATTTTCATGGTAATAATTTGTATGGATTTCTTTTCCAACTGTGTTAATTAAATAATTGGAAGGAACTAAAAATAGTGTTCTATTGGGGTTTGAGGGTATTCATTGATTGATTATAAAAGCTTAAGCTCCTTGTAAAAACAAAGCAATCGTTTAGTTCCTCCTGGAATTTATAAACGATATTCACACGATTCACCATCCTCTAACTGATCCTCTGTCGTCTTTACCTACTTCTGGTGTGAGCCATTTCATGGAGCAACAAAGAAAAGTGAAATCAAAGCAATGCTAATATTGATTTCATTCATACAGAAATATTCTAGATAACGATACAATCAATAATTTCAGCTACTGAGAAATAAAACGGTTTTCATATTAATAACTACTGCTTCGAGTGATGGGACAGTAACCAAGATACTGAGCTATGCAGGAAAGACACCAAGGAGTTAAACTGTCTGTTAGAACTTACATACGATAAAACACAGAGTACATGTGAAACTTGGCCATATTCGGCTCAGAACCTTATTTCATAACAGCCTTCGCAAGATTCAATTTCAGCAGAATAGTGTGAGATAATTTATTAACAATGTTGTATATCATGATATTAAGAGAGCGATGTCACATAACCTTGCGAGAGTGGCATAGCATAATTTTAGTAGAACGATGTGACATAAACTTAGGTAAGAGGTATGACATAATTTTAGGACAACGGTGTAACATAACTTTAGGAAAGTGGTGTGACATAAGTTTAGGACAACGGTGTAACATAACTTTAGGAAAGTGGTGTGACATAAGTTTAGGACAACGGTGTAACATAACTTTAGGAAAGTGGTGTGACATACGTTTAGGTGAGAGGTGTGACATAACTTTAGGAGAGCGATGTGTGACATAACTCTAAGAGAGTGGTGTGACATAATTTTAGGTGAGCGATGTGTGACATAACTTTAGGAAAGTGGTGTGACATAAGTTTAGGTGAGAGGTGTGACATAACTTTAGGAGAGTTGTGATATACGTTTCAGAGAGTGGGGTGAGGTTTTGTATCTCACAATCACTACATACTTGGCGGTGGTAGAAATTTATTTTCTATTTCTTTTATACTAACACATACAGGGTGAGGCAAAAGTAACTCGCCCTATGTCTTGAGGAATAATATGTATTTCAACCTGTTCTACAGCGACATCTAACCAGTTCAAATTACTATAATTGTGAAAGGTTGCAGGAATCATCGACAGGAACATGAGATTCGTCACTAATATTGAATAAAATCTTTGGGGCAAGTTACTTTGGTCTCATTCTATATACAAAGCTTAACAATGGCTGTCTGCACATAGTCGTTCCTAATTTTGCACTGAGGAGAGGCAATTAATTAACAGCATACACCGCCAACTGTTCTTGTTTAATTGAAAATTTGGATTTGGCCGTTACTTTTATATCACAACCAGTCACCTACGGCTTCACAGACGACTTTTTTGCGATAACGGAACGCGAACCATGAACCCTCATATTCACAGTTCTAGCACGCAAATAACAGGCTACGCCCAACCATATAATGTGCTTTATTGTTTTGCTTAAGTTCAGAGCTGCACAAAATAATATTTGCGTTATGTCTATCTCAGGAATCGAGCCTCAAACTTTAGCATTATAAGTCCTTAAGATTAAGATTGAGCTCAAGAAGGGAGCAGGGTTTTCAGGCAGATTATATTAATGCCGCACGTGTTCTGCGTGGGGTTTTGAGGGGTAAGTTTTTCAGATTGATTTTATTAAAAGTACATTTGTCCCTTCTGAAACAGTGAGGAGTTTTCAGATCGATTGTATTAAAATTATGCTTGTCCTGCGTACATGTTCTTGTAGACCAGTGATATCCCTATATTGCTAATAATAGCTTCAGTTGCCCTCTGCATCAATGAGAAATATATATATATATATAAACTGTGTTTTGGTATGACGGTAGAATTCAGAGAAACCTCTGTCTACAAGAAAGTGTCAGCTATGCAGATGTCTAACAAGCAGACCCAAAGCTAGTTTATTTTTTTATTTTATTTTTTTTTTTAGTTATCGTGAAGGGTCGGTAACAGTATCAAGTGCTTCTTAATTGTTCATTGTTAAGTACAGAGCTACACAATGGGATATCTGAGTTGTGCCTACCGTGAGTATAGAAACCCAATTTTTAACGTTATAAGCCTTCAGATTTACCACTGAGACCCTGGAGGGGGGGGTGCATCAACTAAGTAGTTTTCGTACAAGATCACAAAAGAAAATTATACAATTCCTAATACGAACGCGAACCTGAAATGCGAAGTTTTATAAGTAATCATAATGGTTGTGGTTTCACCCTTTAAGGCCTAGCGATTAGCGCCACAGTACTGTGAACCCGAGGGCTCATGGTTTCGCAGCTCGTTGCTGGAAAAAAAGCGTTTCGCACTTTAGTGCCGTGGATAATCAATAAGAATGAAAGTCAAATCCCGATATTCGATCAGACAAGCGTACCAGAAGAGGTGGCGGTGGGTGCTGTTGACTATCTGCCTTCCCTCCAGTATATCAGCTCAAAAATTACGACAGCTAGCGTAGATGGCCCTTGAATAGCTTTGCGCGAATATCTCGAAACAAACATGTAATATTTTTTGTTTAGACTAATATATATGAACTTTTCAACATTTTAAAAACAGAAATTGAATAAAACTGATAAATAAATCTTTTTCATATGAACTAAAATTTTTCACGTGGTTACACTTAAAATGTGTATGTATTTTAATGTTCGTTAGTCCTCATCCAGTAGCCCCCGAGTGGTACAGCAAACTTACAACGTTAGAAACCGGGTTTCGATACCCGTGGTGAGCAGAGCACAGATAGCCCATTGTGTAGCTTAACTACAGAGAAACAAACTCATCCAGTAAAACTACATCATCCGCAAGTTTTTATTTCCTTAGTGCGTCACTAGAGGTCGCCATAAACAGAAACTTATTAATAGATGTGCCTATCTACCGATATTAGTCCTCTTAATCTTTCAAATGCCCCCCAGTGGCACAGCGGTATGTCTACGGACTTACAACGCTAGAAACCGGGTTTCGATACCCGTGGTGAGCAGAGCACAGATAGCCCATTGTGTAACTTAACTTTAAAGAAACAAACTCATCCAGTAAAACTACATCATCCACAAGTATTTATTTCTTTAGTGCGTCACTAGAGGTCGCCATAAACAGAAAATTATTAATAGATGTGCCTATCTACCGATATTAGTCCTCTTAATCTTTCAAATGCCCCCCAGTGGCACAGCGGTATGTCTACGGACTTACAACGCTAGAAACCGGGTTTCGATACCCGTGTTGAGAAGAGCACAGATAGCCCATTGTGTAGCTTAACTACAAAAAAAGCATATACATTTTTTTAAATATTTTAGACGGCAACTTCGAATCCATTAAATTGTATATAGTTTATTAGGGTGGATGAAATTATCCCTACATTGTGCTCGCGGGAGTTCCTCAACGTGTTGGATTCCTGTGTCTATTTACTTTATCTCGTTAGACATCTGTTTTTGTTAATAAAAACATGTTTAATTAAACGGCCTAGACCAACTTGTTGTGTTAATTGTGTTGTAGTTAACAAGGTACACTTAATCACACAAAATTATGAAATACATATATACGAAAATATATGGACTTCTCAGATGTTCAAAATTTTTATCCACCCTAGCGGCATTGTTTATCTAGTAAAGGCTCGCGTCAAAATTAAATGACCACCGGGAGCGCAAGCCGATTTTGACATTAAACATGTGATTAATCAGTGGGGTAAACTTCAATTGTAAACACTGGTAGAAGGACCGATATTTTAGTTGACATATTAAATGCACAACGCTTGGCAAAATGCCCATCAGAGAGTAGAAACATAGAAAACACAAATAAACTCGACAAACGCTTGTAAAAATGCCTAGTATGGAGTAGCAACATAGAAAACACAAATAAACCCACTAAACGCTTGTAAAAATGCTTACTAGGGAATAGAAACAAAGAAAACGCAAATAAATTCATTAAACGCTTGTAAAAATGCTACTATGTAGCAGCAACATAGAAACCACAAATAAACTCATTAAACGCTTGTAAAAATGCCTAGTATGGAGTAGCAACATAGAAAACACAAATAAACCCACTAAACGCTTGTAAAAATTCCTAGTAGGAATAGCAACATAGAAACCACAAATAAACTCATTAAACGCTTGTAAAAATGCTACTATGTAGCAGCAACATAGAAACCACAAATAAACTCATTAAACGCTTGTAAAAATGCCTAGTATGTAGTAGCAACATAGAAACCACAAATAAACTCATTAAACGCTTGTAAAAATGCCTAGTAGAAATAACAACATAGAAACCGCAAATAAACTCACGAAACCCTTGTAAAAATTCCTACTAGAGAACAGCAACAAAGAAACCACAAATAAACTCACTAAACGCATTGCTAGATGCCCACCAGGAAGTAGCACCACAGAAACCTCAAATAATCTCACTGCTACAATATACTATTTAATCTATGAAATGTTGCTCCTAAAACAGGAAATTTGAAAACCATTTGAAAAAAATTTCAACAGAAAGCATTTATCAGAAAATAAATTTGTTTGTTTGTTTATTTTGAATTTCGCTCAAAGCTACACGAGGGCTATCTGCGCTATCCATATCCTAATTTAGCAGTGTAAGACTAGAGGGAAGGCAACTAGTCATCACCACCCACCGCCAACTCTTGGGCTACTCTTTTACCAACGAATAGTGGGATTGACCGTCACATTATAACGCCCCCACGGCTGAAAGGGCGAGTATGTTTGGTGTGACGGGGATTCGAACCCACGACCCTAAGATTGCGAGTCGAGCGCCCTAACCTCCTGACCATGCCAGGCCCAAAAAATAAATAAATTTGGGAAATTTTTAATACTTTTACTAATTTATCGAAACTCATTCGTTGTAGCTAATCGACTTTAAATATATTCAGCATATTTTTTGAAACTGTATAAACTTCTTCCAGAAATCTAACTACATGAGACACTTTAATAAGCTAATTAATGTTTGAATAAAGGATTAATGAAAAATATTTAAAAATTCTTTACATTCTTATATTAGGTAATTATATCTATCTCAGACTCCTTATTGAACTTGCTAATTCTTATAAAGTCACCACCAAGGTTTATAGCCTCAGAAAATGTTTAAATCAGAAGACTTCTCAAGGTTTTCATTGATCGTGGTTCGTTGAACTTGAAAATTTTCGATCTGCTCAAGCTCCCTCTAGTTTTAATTTACGAAAGTTTACGAGGTCTATAGAATTTCCTGACTCGTGGTTTTTGCTAGGTAATATTATTTTAAAAGAGGCTTCTGATATATGAATTGTAACAAATAATAAAATGTTTTTAGATAATGATTTAAAAAAAAAACCGAATATATATATATATATATATATATATTTATCAAAGGAAAATGTTATGTTTGGTTGAGTCGGTAGAAACTGTGAATGGTTAGAGATCCTTTATTTTTAGCTACAAAATCAGTTAAGTTCTTAATACTATTAACGTTGTTTGCCTACCCATTATTATATTAGTACAATGTACATCCTTACTCAAGTATTCTAAAAGTTAATATAAGACATACCCCACGTAGGAATACCAAACCTGAGAGAAACCGGTGTGTAATAAGTCTCTGTAATTTTACTCCGGCAAACACCAGAGGGAATACGAAACATCTTGCGTTACCTGATATAGGAGGAACACATTGCACGGATTCAAACAAAGGTTTTCTGAGGATATCGATCCTCATTGGGCGGAACCCAATCAATTTTCTGAGCATATAGCCTCTAGGTTCAACATTGTTGCTGAAAAAAAAAAGGTCATGCATGAATGGGAAAAAACACACACATACACATACAAATTTATATTATGCAGTAAACGTTACAGTTCAGAACTTAATCTTGAAGGCCTTTGTAGAATTTATAATCTGAGTTTTATGATCATATATTACTTGCATTTAAATTGAGTAATATAACCTAAAAGCATAAGGAATAACGAACGACAGTTTCTTGCCAATACCAATGATTTTTTTTACAGGTTTTGCATGTATATTCATGTGCTGTTACTGCTTGAGACTTAAACCTAATATATACTGAATTGACTTGTTATTTTCTTCAGTAAGTTTCTGGAAAAAAACAATAACAACAGTAGACAAGAGATACAAGTGGCATTATTGTAACAAGTGACGTCAATATTGTGTAATAATATTTATCATATTTTAATTGACACTAGTCTAGATTAATACCAAACGGATGCTAACTGTATTTTACAATCTGAACTAGAAATAACCAAAACCATCCCCAGAAACATAAACATTAGCATTGAAGAAGACAATGTTTTGTAAAAAAAACAAAGTTTAAGTTGGCTTCCTTTTCGCACGCGGCTGACAAGCAACGAAAGACGCTCTTTGGTTATTACAAAGCAAAATGAAACACACTGTTCTCCTTGCTCTGCTTTTGAAATGAAATTTTTTTTAAATGTATTCACGTGCATCATCAGACCTTCAGCCTGCATCCTGAATGAGTATAAAAAAAATAGTGAAGAACGAATCTCTCGCTCTAATTCTTAAAAACTCACACGTGTAAAGAAGCACAACCCTAAGCAAAAATTAATTCGTTATGCTACTCAATTTTACTTACCCTTAGGCTTCATCTTCTCTCGACAAGGCTTTCCCGGGGTGGTGATGTTTGGAAACACCCTCTAACGGATATAAATATACTCTGAGTCAAATTATGCCTTTCAGCAAATACAGTAGTTGTTCGTGTGTCCCTGTGGTCTACAGAAAATAGCAATACAGCTTCAACTACGTATCCGTATTTACTTCAAATACTATCTTCCACTAAGAGGCATGACGGACGTATCTTCCTGGCGCGCGCAAGCTTGAGTGTAGACTTGCCTGCAGTGTACCACTTGGAGCGCGAGAAAGCAGCGCGCGCACGTAGAAAAATCGTCTGGTCTGATTCGGTTGGGCCTAATATTGATTCGGTGGACATTACTTCGTATTACCTTTAGAGAGAAAGGAAGAAAAACAATGGAAGTTATGCATGAAAAGAGATAAACTTTGTAGATATTTCCATTTCATTAATGCATTTCTGACTGTAATAAAAAAAAAAATATTTGTTGTTTCATTATCCTCTAAACGCGACCATTTGTAATGTGTCACTGCTACATGAAAATAAACTACTTAATTAAAACACAAAACTTACCTATACTACTGCACTTAGACATTGTCTATCTATCTATTCAGATTACGGTGCTAACAGAATTGAAATATTGTATTTAAATTAAACTTCTTGTTTTCTACTCTAAGACAGTCACGTGATATGAGGATGGTATTTGATATTTAGTAGTCACAAGTGGATTAGATCGTTTGTAAAATTTCACCCAACATACACCAGCCCATGGAGAATATCCGGTAGGGAAAGGAATGATCCAAACCTGTATTTGATTTCTCACAGTCAGCTGGGTACAAGTGGAATTTATGTGTTCATCGCATTTACTCGGCTGTGGTGATCCTAACCCTGTCCCCCAGTAGGTAAAATATCGAACTAAGGTGCCACGAACTTGCTGAATTACACAACGTTAAGTATCTATATCTAGCCTGTTATTTATGTTTTGCTTTGTTTTTAGTTCGCTTAGATTTTACTGACCTATGGATACAACCTGTCATTTACATTACTGAACATTTATAAAGATGCCTGACTACAATTCATTGTTTTTACATTAAAACCAAGTCCCTCTCAGTTGTACATTAAATCTATTTTCGAAGTTCATGTATTTGAATGTCATTACAACAGGAAATTCAAGAGCTGCTCATTATTTTTCTGCTCCTGGTCCGCAGACCAGCTCTTCCTGACCACACTGCCTTAAGACACATTTTTTAATGAGAAATTCTTGCTTACATTCAGGTGTGTATCATACACTATTGTTTGTTAAAGTTGTGGTAAAATCAGTTATATTGTGCTAGATTAAGTGTCTCCAATTCTGATGCCACCTATCGTGCACAAGACAAATTAACTAACTGACACGAGGTCATTATGTTATATAATTGACACAGACACTCACATAGAATAATTAATGAAATATCATCAATCATTTAAATGGCAGGCGTTAACGATAAAGATTTGCTAAGTCTTACATAATTAAAGCAAAACTCGTACGAAAAGTTTTATGGATATTTTGTTTGTTACAGTTTAATCTTTTTAAAGTTTAAGTTTCGCAGAAGTTTAGCAGATCGTTCAAACAGCTATCACTAGATTCAAGAATTCTCCTCTTTACTTATTATGATGGAAATTAACTCTTCTGCAAAATTAAATGGATAATTATTAAAAGCCACAAACTGCTTGCCGGGTGTGGCTTTGTAGTTAGCGTGCCGAACTGTGAATATGAGGATCCATCATTTGCCTCTTTCTTTAGTAAAAACGTACACCACACTTTGAGGCCGTGAATGTGAGGATCCATCGTTTGCCTCTTTCTGCAGTAAAAATGTGCACCACACTTTGAGGCCGTGAATGTGTTAAAATATCGATAGTCAATTCCAATTATTCGATTACAGTTCCCCAAAAGCTAACGCTGGGTGCTGTTAATTAGCTAACTTTTCTATAGTTTATCAGTTCCGAATTAGGGGCGGTTAGAGCACAATAGCCCTTTTGTAGCTTTGCGCGAAATACCGAAGCCAAAGAAGCAATCTGATGACAGAGTTTAAAAAAATAGTTTTCTTGCCCTTTTGCGAAATACCATTTATATACAAATGTTTAATTCAAATTTCTATTCAATCTTCAACCATTTTCTACCACAAAGTTTGATAATTAATCATCTAAAACAGTGTCAGAGCTCAAACAAATCCCCATTTTCTGCCAAATTAAAAAAAAAAATTGTATTAACTTTGTGTTTCTTTTTCGAGAATTATATAAAAGTTCCTCTATAAACATAGCTCACACAAATTACCCTTTGTTTATAACATGAGAAGGAGGAGAAATATGAACATATGTTACAAAATGGTAAGTCTCCGGACTTACAACACTAAAATCCGGGGTTCGATTCCCCCCGCGGTAGACACGGTAGATAGCCCATTATGGTTTCGCTCTAAACCAACACACATTGTTGCTTATGTTAATTTATAAAAATCGTTATTGATTAAAAAAATGAATTGTTTTTCGCACCCAAAAAATCTTTTGTAAGAATAAGCACGATAAAATGTGGGCTTTTAAAATATTTGGATACATTTATATTAAAGTTAAAGAAATTTGTCGTCAAGTGTTATTATCTTTCTCAGAAGCCTCTGCAAGAAACGAATTAAATCATCAAATGAATTGTTATATTTGTTTTCTGTCGAGAAATAAGTTTCGTTAGATAAATATTTTCGTTTCTTACACTCGTCAAACTTACAGATGCGTGATTAAAACTAACTCGGTATATATTAAAACATCACTACATCATTCATACTTTGTTTCTGCTAAAACTAACTCGGTATATATTAAAAAATCACTACATCATTCATACTTTGTTTCTACTAAAACTAACTCGGTATATATTAAAACATCACTACATCATTCATACTTTGTTTATACTAAAACTAACTCGGTATATATTAAAACATCACTACATCATTCATACTTTGTTTATACTAAAACTAACTCGGTATATATTAAAACATCACTACATCATTCATACTTTGTTTCTACTAAAACTAACTCGGTATATATTAAAACATCACTACATCATTCATACTTTGTTTCTGCGCCTCAAATCCTTTTTTCTTCATGTTACTATATGGAATAATAACAACTTAAATCAGCCTTTATATTTAATTAAATACAATAGTTACAATGCTAATAATATTTTACAAGCAGAGACCCGCAAAACATTCCGGCCAAATTAGTATCTTTATCGTAACAGTACTTCTTTAAATATAACATTTCTAGCACAATACAAACGAACTGTAATCGTAGACAACGAAATGTGTAAATCCACTTGTATTTCGGCCGTACTTTATAAAACTTTAACTTATGTTAGGCCTACGTTCGATAGAGATAAATTAACACTGTAACCTGAGTACGTTTTATTTTTAACTTTAGTTTAGTTAGAACTAAACTTTACTGCACTTAATACTATCGATAAATAAACTTATAATGTTATTTTACGACCTAACGTCAAACTTTTTTAAAAACTTTGATAAGTTTTAATATTCTGTTATACAAAATGGTTAGTAAAGTATAGAAACAAGAAGTAACAACAAAAGGGGAATGTAAAATACAGCAATTGTAGCGACTTGATCATTGAGCTTTGCAGCTCTCTGCCGCAGGCAGACTGTTTGTCGTCGAGTGAATAATGCGCATACGCAGTTTTCTTGGAGAAACATTCTAACTACGCATCCTTATGCAGCAGGTTCTCGGTCAGAAAGCGTAACACTTATATAAAACTAATTCCGTCGAAAAAGCAGAAAAAAAAGTCTTTATTAAAATATAAAATAAAACTTTCCCAATTTTTGAAAATTCCAAAAATATTTCCGAAACAGTGTGCGTAGACATTGTTGTAAGAAGTGAGAAAAATCTATATGTTACTTAGAAGTTGTAAGTTCACACACCATATCTCCTCTTTCAAAATCATGTTGTTTAATGTACACATAATTTTCTCTTATCAACATCTCATACTCAGCTACATGACAACAAATCAAATGTTATTATTGTTGGTCAAACCGTCAGGAGTTATGTGGTGGTATGTGCATTTCTACTTACTTATAAACAATGTAGAATGGCATCATTTTATTATTGTTGGTCAAACCGTCAGGAGTTATGTGGTGGTATGTGCATTTCTACTTACTTATAAACAATGTAGAATGGCATCATTTTATTATTGTTGGTCAAACCGTCAGGAGTTATGTGGTGGTATGTGCATTTCTACTTACTTATAAACAATGTAGAATGGCATCATTTTATTAGAAGAATGAATGGAAACTGTTTTGAAGCACACATTTGTATTTTAAGATGATGAATGCCTTCAAAAGAAATTATCATTTATATGAATTTTTTCTTAGTTTGCTTGAATAACTACAGTCACTTTTAATGTTGTTGTTGTTTCAATTAACATATAAACTTGTTGTATCACGACACTATTACACACAGTAATCATTTTGGATGTAAGATAACATGTGGTGCAAAGAAGTATGTGTGTGACGATGTTATATTAAATAACTTCAGGTAGAAGCGATTTCAAAACGGTAACTTTAATAATTACAGTCTGATCTATAAACTAGTTTTGTTTAAATAGATAAAACTCACAAAGAGGGTGTGGAATTTCTTAAAAATGCAATTTGAGTATTAAAAAATGTCAAGGTGTTTAATTTGCCAGAACTACATCAAGAAAACGCATGTTTGTGTCTTGTTCAGCTTCTCAGGTGAAATCTAAATTAGGATGCTGCAAGTTGATAAACCTAAGAAATGTTTTATCTTGGCTCATACTAAACCAAGCTAGGTTCTTGCCAATCCACTAGAATTCTTAGTATACGGCTATAATTATTCATCCGCCGAAAGACATACTGTTTTTCTATTGTTTCTCCTTCTTTTTCCAAACACTTTTCAATCGACCGTCATTCCTTCATTTCTCAGCGGATTGACTTGAAACTTAATAGGGTTATGCTAGCATTCTCTACACAATTAGCAATATCCAAGACCTTAATATCATCTGCAAATTTATGTAATTCATTGACTATTTCTTCATCTATATCAATGGCTATACCTTGGTCCAATGTTTAGATGTTTTTTTTTATTATTTTATTTTATTTAAGCCTCTCTAAGGAATTTATGAGGTCATAGATCAAACAAACCCAAAATGTATATTTTGGGCTACTGTGCGTCATATTTCAAGCAATCGAGATAAAAACTGGCACTAATATACATTTTCATGCACGCAACACAGGAACATAAAAAAGGCTAGATTTGCCCATTTTGAGTCTTTTTAGAAGGGTCACAGCTCAGAACAAAGCATATTTTTGTTGTTTTTTTTGGGGGCAATTATTCTGCTCTATTTTGACCAATTTACATGCGGTTTGGTAGAAAGATACTTTTCTACAGAGCCTACACATTGACAGACAAATATAATGGACTTGTCCATTTTAACAATTATAGGGGGTCAAAATGCCACAAAAAGCATAATTTGGGGTTGTTTTTTTTTTACAGTTACTTCGCTTTATTTTGAGCAATTTAGTATTTGGTACAAAGATACCTTTTACAGGTCCCGTATATATACATACAAAAATGTAAGATACGCCCCTTTATGGTTATTTAGGAGGGTTATAGACAATCATTTACCCTTGTTTCGCCCAATTTATATGGAATTTATTACAGAGATAATTTTCTACAAGAAGTAATATAGACAGTTTTCGATTTTTCTGTGTTTGTCACGATTTTTCTGGTGTAAAAATTAGCCATGCTGGAATTGCATGGCGTATGTTGGCCTCTTTAATTTCTAAATACTTTCACATTGAAAAATTATCATTGTAGATCTCATAACCGTCAACCTCTTCTAACGTAATTACAAATATGGGTATATTGTGAAACCATTTGTCAATTACTTGGCTGAAAAGTCTATTCAATAAAACTATATTTTTTGGTTCCACTGTTTCTTGTTTCACCCTCAAAGGAATATATTATTATAAATGCTTTGTAGATCTTATTATGTTTCACTATGGCGAAGAGAAAGATGTAAACTGGTTATTAGCAGACGTACGTGTTTCAAATTAAGTTCTTTGTTCAATCTCTTACCTTGCCCTTTATTAATGTTTTTTTTTTTGACAAGTATGATTAATTATGATCATGTAACAATTAGATTATATAAATAGCGTTCCAACCACAACTGTATTTGTTGTGTCCCAACCAGCCTGACGAACTCTGTATTGAGCGAGATGTGTCGTCGACAATAGATACGGAAGACATAGTGTAGTTCAAACACTATTATATATTATTCTTAATTTGAAAAGCCCTAAGGGACTGAATAAAGAATGAAATGTTAAAAGTATAAAATATCTAATACTAATATCTTTTACCAAGGATAATTAATTATTAAACTGGTTTAAGGCCCGGCATGGCCATGTGGTTAGGGCGCTCGACACGTAATTTGCGGGTTCGAATCCCCATCCCACCAAACACATTCGCCCTTTCAGCCGTGGTGGCTTTATAATGTGACAGTCAATCCCACCATTCGTTGGTAAAATAGTAGTCCAAGAATTGGCGGTGGGTGGTAATGACTATGTGCCTTCCCTCTAGTCTTACATTGCTACATTAGGGACGACTAGCGCAGATAGCCCTCGTGTAGCTTTGCGCGAAATTCAAACAAACTGGTTTAATTTAGTTCACAATAGTAAAAGCACAGAATACAGTGATGTTCAGATATCAGTGAAACCGTTATATAACTTATTTACTTCAGTCTTCTATTACAAACGTAAACCTGTTTTTTATATACCTTTTACTTAAATGGTATGACAAATGTTTCAGTGTACTACAAATAAATTGGTTAAAAGTTATCGGATTATTTACTGTCCGTATCTTTTGAGATAACTATTATTTTATTTATTTGTCATTGCAGATGGTGAAGATGATGATTATGGTAGTTACAGTCTTCACATTTTGTTGGCTACCTCTAAACGCCTTAATCGTGGTAAGTGATCAAGACCAAACCATTTGGTCTTACGAGCACATCCAATATATATGGTTTATTTGCCACTGGCTAGCCATGAGTCATGCTTCCTACAATCCTATCATTTACTGCTGGATGAATTCCAAATTCCGTAACGGGTTTCGTCACATATTTTGTTTCTTACTTCCTAGAGTTAGAAGCAGTCGTCTTCGTCATTATCGAGGAAGAAAAAGTCTTAGAAGAACCTGCACCACTGTGCGCACTACTAGTTTCAAGGAATCAGTGACCACCGGAAATGTAGTCACCTTGGATCAACGTTTACCTGCCATAAAAGGCAACACATTCCCTGCAAGAACCATGTTCAAAAGCTATACTTCTAAATTTGAAAATGTTGCTACATCCAATTGCAGTTTTGAGTAATTAATAAAGTTAAATTTAAGGGATAACTTTAGTTTATTCTCGAGTTTGATGACTTATAAAGCATTCTCAAAATGAATTATACAACATCAAAAGAGCAACCATTGTTGAGATAGTTGTAAAAGATTCCTTACGTGGTAATACTGTTATTGTTAAGAGCTCTAAAGTACAAAGAACAGCTGCAAGTTTCCACCTTAATACACACGTGGTTTTTGTCATATTCATGTGGAAAGCCTTTTTTAATGACGAGTTCCTAAATCATAGTCCCTCGGTGGGAATGCGGTAAGTTTAAGGACTAAAATTCGGGGTTCGATTCCCCGTGGTGAATACAACAGGTAGTTCAATGTGGCTTTGCATTAAAACAAACATAAATCATTTCATCCCAGTCGGACAGCTATAAAATATGGCCCTTTTTTTATCTGTTTATTTAATGGTAACTTTTTTTTTTGGACAGTCACAATTTTGATAATTACCATAAATATTATAGTAAAGAAATCGACTATAATATTTCTAACTAAAAGTGACATCAAAGTACCGGAAGTTTGTAATTTGACTGTAAAACTTAATATCATTCGATCAGAAATTTTGTTTCAGCAGTTTGCTTAATTTATTTTCTAAAAATCCCAGTGAACAAAAATAAATCTTCAATCAAATCTACTTAACTATAATTTAGAAACTCTGTAGAAAAACAGTTCAAGATTATTTTTTTCACTGATGGTTGGATTAGATGAAACTTTAAACAAAAGGAGAACATAAATAGTACATTGTGTGATATACGAAAAATTTGATTATCATTAAAAAGTATCGCTACAATTTTGTTAGCCGCGTTGGATATTCGAATATGATTTAATAGGTACATTTGAAGTGAAGAATTAAAACCTTGCCCCCCGCCCCCGTGGGATAGCAGTAAGTCTTCGGATTTTGAACAATAGAATCAGGGGATTCGATTCCCTTCGATGGACACGGCAGATAGCCCGATTTAGCTTTGCTATAAGAAAAACACACACAGTGGTTTAGCAGCGAGTCTGAAGGCCTATACCCCTAACAACTGTATAGCTTTGTGCTTACACATACAAGTTCTTTTGTACAACGTTGAATAAACAAAACCTTTGAACTAACTAACAAAACTTATTAATTAAATAAGTAGTACAGGAAAACAAGTGAAATGTGGATGTCAAGAAAGTTGAGACAGAAGTATTTACTCAATGTGTTTCGGTTGTAATTTATTTCTAAGAACCCATGCATTAAATCATTGATGTAATAAATTAAATACGCTACATCTGCCATTTCCATTGTCGACAAGTTTTAGGTCAATACCAAGTCCCATCAGGCTAATGTGAATAGACAAACATAGACCTTGGTCAGGACTCTATACATATGACATCAATTTTCATTAACAGCTGCTGTGGTGTGGCCCAGATTAAGCAAGCGAATTTAAATTATTATCCTTTTTATTCAAATAATTGCAAATCAGATCTTTAGTGTAAGGATTAATAACACTATTTATTTTTAATTTTGAACATCAATTATTAATTATTATAATTTACTATTTATTTATTTGAATTAAACTTAATAGTATTACCATCTAGAAAGTACTATTTCCTAACTATAACATATATTTTTTTTCAAAGTATATATAAGAGTAAGTGAATTAAATTAGTGTTTTCAGTTTAAAAGTGAACTTGTATGAACTTTTTTGATTACTTGATAGGAACCGTCATTGAGTATAACATAGGCACTTTTAGGCATTGATTCTTGTTTAATATTACAGTATGTCTTCCCTCCTTTAGATATAATGATAATGTCATTTGTTCGAAGAGAATGAATAGCTTAACATAGATTTTTTGTTAAGTTGTGTTTGAAATTTCGAGTTTTGATGCTCTTTTTTAGTTTGAATACTTCTGACTATGTTGTTTCTTATTCATTGTACTTTACGCATTGTGAAAAAAAAACTTTCTTTAGAGTCTGTTAGCGATATCACCAAATCAAAAGAAAAATGAAAAATAACAAACAATAAATAAAAAGTTAAATTTACTTTTTGACGTGACTCACTAAAAATCGGGTTTAGATACCTGAAGAGGTTAAAGCACAAATAGTCCAACAGCAAACAAACAAATAACATTCTTTGACGTGCTATTCAAATATTTATGACAAAATCGACAATTATTTCATTTTGTTTCTCGCCTGTTTTCTTGTATGGTTTGTGAGATATCTTTTAAGAGGAAATGACAAAACAAACAACAATGAAAAAATAGCGCATCCACGAAAGTCCCTGTATTTTTGGAAAAGTCTGTGTTGGAGAAACTAAAAGATCTCTTCCAGTTAGGCTGAACGAACACAAAATGTGTTGCAAAAACAAGTGAACTTGGAAAATCGGCTATTTTCAATTACATGCTAGACTCGGATCACCAGATAAATTAAATGACAAAATTATCGCTCAGACAAATTACAATAAACAGCGTTTGTTTGTTTTAGCACAAAGTCACATATCGGGTTATCTGCGCTATTTCTACTGTGAGGAATTGAACCCCGGATTTTAGCATTGTACGTCCGCACTGACTCACCGGAGGACAACAAAAACGTAACATTAGAGGATCTATTGAAATTAACAAAAAATATAACGAGACACTGAGCAACAAGGCTCTGAGTTATATTTACTATATATATATACTTATTTATTTATTAAAATAAAAATTTATTTTATAATTAAGATATAACACTCAGACATAGTTTGAATTCCAACCGTTACTCACACTTTTGATCCCCTGATGAAGAAAATTATAGTTCTTGAAAAATGTTGAGTAAATATTCTTTACTTATGTTTTTGAAATTCATGTTTCAATTGTTTTTCTGCAACCCTTATATAACTTGTAGTGTTTTGTTAGCTAGAATAGCAATTTTATTTACGCAACAAAACATTAAACAAAGCGAGTTGTTAAACATTAGATTATGAAGACACTTTAAGATATATTTCCTTATTTAATGTTTTTCACTTCTTTAAAATCTAAAGGAAGTTAAAGAAGAACATGATCTCAGCTTTGTACTTAGATCTCAAGTAGCTTTGTGTCCATCAAACAGTCTGTAAAAACTAATACTTATGATTGTTTTGATTTTAGTGCATTTTTTATGTCACAATAATAATTGGTCATGATAAACTGCTTATATTGCTGAATTACCCATATAGCAATGCATTTCTCGTGACATTTGTTTTCATTTATCAAGATTTCTTGAACCAGAAAATATTACTCTCAGGTTAGCCATTGCTTTCATCGTTTTGCATAAAAGTAAGCACACATGATTCGGTGGTAAGGTAACAAACTGGCAAAAATTACTCATCGCTAAACTAAATTGAGAACCAGTTTTTAGAGCGAACAAACACAAAGACCATAACATCAAGCTGAAGATCAGTCTTTTATCTTTTCTTATTATTTTGAAGTTTACCAAAAGCCTGTGAAGAAAATGAATTATAAATATTGAGTAATAACTATTTTGTATCTAAATATAACATCAAATGTTCTATTGTATGCTGTATCGAGTAGCAGTGTCGTAAGATACATTTATTGCGAACTCCAAAGTTGAAAATCTTTGTGGATCAATTCTAAAACATTGCATTTATTCCTTTTTTTAATTACTATATACTGACATATATATTTAAATGTGTATTTAAAACTTCCTTTGTTATTACTGCTGGAAAATAACATTCTAAAGAACTCGAACTGCTTTTTTATAATATAGGTATAATATCTTGTATAATATTTTTCGTTTAAATTTTATTGAAAAGGACAATTTAACAATAAAGTTAGAAGAGAAAAAGACCCTTACCCACCAAACAGCAACAAAAATTTTAGAGCATTTTTGTTATCGTCTGGAGAGTAAGGGTCAAAATGAAAAAGGCGATACTTGATGCCAATTTGCATGCTTGTATATGTTTGTATGTGTGTTTGTGTGTCCTGAATGACTAAATTATATCCTTTGTATAATTAGATTTTCCTTACACGATTGATGTATGCGTAAAACTGTAAAACTGCCTTTTCCAGAGGTTTAGTACCTTATATTGAAACGAGTTTGGAGCTTCACCGTGTTGCTACAGTCCATTTCGCCATGCATAGGTGCTGAGTGACTTGATGGGTATGTTTTCGTATAAAATATCATGAATACCCATTTCATTCTCCAGTTGCTTGAGGTATGCGACGAAAAATCGTGACACTTTTATGAAACCCTTTAACGCAAAACAACGCTTGAAAGAATTTTATTGTTTCAGCAGTAGAAATAAAAAATCAATAATATTGAGTTTATAATATTCAGAAGTTGTTTATTTTTTATTTTTATTTTTTTGAAGTTGTTAGTGCTGAATACTATATCTATGGGATAAACTTGTCAGTTGTAAATACTATATCTGTGTCAAAAAGTTGTTAGTGTTGGATACTATATCTATGGCAAAACGTTGTTTGTTCTGGATAGTATATCTGTGACAAAAAGTTGTTAGTGCTGGATACTATATCTATGGCAAAAAGTTGTTAGTTCTGGATACTATATCTATGGCAAAAAGTTGTTAGTTCTGGATACTATATCTGTGACAAAAGTTGTTAGTGATGGATACTATATCTATGGCAAAAAGTTGTTAGTTCTGGATACTATATCTATGGCAAAAAGTTGTTAGTTCTGGATACTACATCTATTGCAAACAAATTTCATAATTGTGTGGATTTCTTTAATGAGATAAATAATAATTTGTAGGATATCAGATATATCATAAAGTTGTATAAACCTAGAGAAGCTAAACTATTATTAGGTGTTAGTTTACGATTATTAATACAATATAGTAGCCATGAGCTAGCTTTCAATATATAAAGTTCATGATGATAAAGATTTGAATTAGAAAAGTTTGTTCTACTTTATATCATTCTTAATCACTGTATACAATGTAGGGATGCACATAATAACCACATGTTTTTTTAGTTTAATGCTTACAATTTCTTGTTTGCCATGTCTGAAGGCTTCCC